AGAGTTGTTAGGAGACCTCTATTTCCCTCACAGAGCTGCAATTTTCAGAGTTCCTTGTGAAGAGGTATTGACTGCGAAACCATTCTGGGACTTGTAGCTTGGTGAGGAAAGTGAAGATCTCCAAGTGTGCAATGGACAACAATTAACAGGAAGTTGTGTAAACAGGCAGCAAGCAAATCAGCATAAATTGTCATCATCATATAACCTCCCCATAAACAAATAAAAACAAATGCTCAAGATAGACTGGAAATAGTACAACTGTCACATAAGCTTTGAGCAAGCAAATCTGGATGAATGCTGAATAAATTGGTTGTCTGGTGGAGCTCTAATGCCTGGTTCTGCTGTCCAGGATTCCTCACAACTTGCATCTTCTGTCCCTTATAATTCCCCTTCTTCCTGGACTTCTAAATTCCGAGTCTTATAGAAGGAGTCTCCTTGGTGATGGAGCATTTGTGATCTTAAAGTAATGAAGAAAAACTTGTGCAAATGTTAAATGAAGTGTGTGCATTGTGTCCAATAAGCCACAAAATGCTGACTGCAGTGAAATGACAGCAATTAACCTTTAGCAAGTGCAGTTCATAGCAGGGGACTAAGGTCAGGGATTAAAATTCAGGCTTTTGCTCACAATGTATTTATAGGAGTCATCACAACTATATTTTTTGAAGTCCTCATAGAAGGGGTAAAGGACACAACAGTAACTACTGGTTCTTGGTATGTAGTATATTGGAATTTTTCATTATATGAGGGCTGTTACTTACCAGTAATGCCAGAGTCAATTTTATGTGCAACTAACCCGTATTTTCTTGTATTCATACTCCAATGGTAACTAAGTTCTTTGGTTCATTTTTCAGATATGTATGCAAATAAACTTCAATGAGCTTTGAATCGTATTCATAATGGTCCCTTGAACAATTCTTTCTACATTTATTATTCTTGGCAACTTCGCTGTGCTACACCACATGCTATGCGCAGTGGTGATGGTTCACAAATTATGGCTTGGGTAAAGGTAAAAGCCAAAGCATAGCAGGGAGTAGGGATGAGGGAATCTGTTAATTTCAGTTTCCTATTTTTTCCCAAAAATGTATAATGCATAAACTATAAAGCTTAGCACTAGTGTTAGGCATTTTAAATTTCCAGAACTGAAAACTAAACTGACTATAGAGTCTTTTTATATACAGTGGTACCTCGGGTTACATATGCTTCAGGTTACATACGCTTCAGGTTACAGACTCCGCTAACCCAGAAATAGTGCTTCAGGTTAAGAACTTTGCTTCAGGATAAGAACAGAAATCGTGCTCCGGCAGTGCAACGGCAGCAGGAGGCCCCATTAGCTAAAGTGGTGCTTCAGGTTAAGAACAGTTTCAGGTTAAGAACGGACCTCCGGAACGAATTAAGTACTTAACCCGAGGTATAACGCGAGGTATAAGCAAATTTTAAATGTAGCTAATGCAAAACTACCGTTATAAGCAAAAATGAAAGGCTATGGTCATTTGGTTTCCCAATACAAGTCAGTGGGATCACCAAAGATTCAGATTTCTGAATAGGGTTAGACTGAGCCTGAATCTATCCAAACTGTGATCAGAAGCAGATTTAGAGGAGCACAACTAGTGCAGTCGCAGTGGGTGCAGAGTCTCAGGGGTGCCGCAGGGGGTGTCACAAATGTGAAGTAGACCGGAAGGTGGGAGGCAGGGCACCAGAGAAATTTGAGACCCCAAGGTTCACCACTGCTGTGACCCAGATCTGAATAACAGAACTGGGTCCCACACAAATTAGGGTGGATATTAAAGGTAAAGGGACCCCTGACCATTAGGTCCAGTCGTGGCCGACTCTGGGGTTGCGGCACTCATCTCGCTTTATTGGCCGAGGGAGCCGGCGTACAGCTTCCAGGTCATGTGGCCAACATGACTAAGTTCTGGTGAACCAGAGCAGTGCATGGAAACGACCGTTTACCTTCCTGCCAGAGCGGTACCTATTTATCTACTTGCACTTTGACGTGCTTTCGAACTGCTAGGTGGGCAGGAGCAGGGACTGAGCAACGGGAGCTCACCCCGTTGCAGGGATTCAAACTGCCGACCTTCTGATTGGCAAGTCCTAGGCTCTGTGGTTTAACCCACAGCGCCACCTGTGTCCCACCAGGCTGGATATTGCGTAGCCCTAAAAATCATTTTACGCATTCAACAGCCCACACATAACCTGTCAAATAAATGGTACAGAAGAAAGCCAAAGTGTCACATGCTAAACAAATTGTAAAAATTAATTTCTGAGCTAAACGTTAATCTCCAGATATGAAATCAAAAGTTGTAGCACCAACATCTGGAAAGAGTAAGAGAGATTTCTTTGGAACCAAAGAAGAGAACTCAAAGTACATATTTGTACACTGGGTTATTTTGTGAGATAGATTCTGCAAAACAACAACAACAGGAGGTTCAGGAGATACTCCGGAGACCGAGAGAGAGCGTGCTAGAAGGCTTGATAGTAAAAAGGAAGTGCTAATGAGAGTAGCAGATGTTTAGAGACACGGGTGCACTAGGAAAATACATAGGCAAAAATCCCAAGACCATTTGGATCAATGAGACAAAGCACGCATACATGAGTGCACATGAGTGTTTTCTTTCAGGGCTTGTCCCTGAGATAGACTTATTTATGTACTGAATATTATAAAAGCCTAAAGTACCAGGAACATGCATTCTATTCTAATCTCCTTTCCTGAGATGAAAAGAGATCCTTCACAGATGAGATAAAGCAGTTGGTGTTGAGTTTGGCTTTTATTCACAATGCCGATTGTATATGTTAAGAGTTAAATTGAAAGTCCGTTTCTGTTTAATGAATATCCATAATGGATTGCAAGGCTTAGCTCTGAGTTTGTAATTTATAGGCCACTGTTATTCATTCCAGTCAAATGCCAATGACAGGAAGGGCAACAAATCAAAGTTAATTTGTAATTGAAAATGACTATTACTAGAAGTGGTTTCACTTTAAAGAATCTTGACATGTTTGAAGATGAATTACTTTGAACAGCTTTGTTATTTAAAATTGTTTTAAAGCATAAAAAAATGAAGGTTACATTTTTGAAGGCTGATCTTGAACATGAGCTACTCTGCAACCTTTTAGTGCTTGGGGAGTGAGATCAGTTCAAAATGCAAATTAAAGTACCATTTAAAAATGATTTGACTTGCCCATATAATACAACTCCAGTACGCCTGTAAAGAAACTGCTAAATGTTGCCATTAAAACATCTCAAAGGTGAAATCTGATACATTTGTGTACTCTGTATCTTATCTACTAAACACCAATTGTTAGTGTTATTACTTTATCAATTCCCTGGGTAATTGTGCTCATGTATTTTATGGTAAGAAAGCCTAGAAATTAGAGGAAAGGAACATTTACTGAACGTTTACTTTCAACACAGGATTGCTTCCCCGCCCACTCACTAAATTGCACAAAATATATCTTGATAAAAATGATTAAGGATTTTAGTTGATATTGCTGTTTTCTCAAGTAGGCAGCCAGAGAGAATATTTATCAGATAGTTTACAAGCTTCTTTTACTATGACCTAATGATTTGGACAGTAAACTTAAGCATGAAGCTACTTTCACTCTGCTTATTTTAAACATTTAAGCTGTATAAAAGCCATGCTAAAAGCATGGATTTTCAAATAAATGCTTTGGTTTCTTGTTATTACATTCACTTATTAAAAGAAGGTTTCCTTAGCATGCACTGTAGAGAATTTTTAAAAAGCTTTGGTGAAATATACATGGCTTCGGAGACACAGAACTCTAGATTTCATTACCACTCTCCATGATTTTCATCACCAACATTTCACCAACATTCTGGCTTGAAAACCTAAAAGGTTAGAAACACCACACATCTGTGACCATTGTGGCCTTGGGCATCTAGGGGCAGTAGGAACTCCCAACATAATAAGGGCTACCATAGGCCAAACAGATTTTCAGACTCTTTAACCTACTTGGATTTGGTTGGCAACTACTCAAAGACCTTGCCCACAAAGGGGACATTTCCAGATGCAGAGTAGATTTCTTCAGGAGTCTTACCACCACCTCTCTCAGGCAGCCCAGGACCACTACCTCTTGAAGAGAAGCATTAATTATCCCATTGGCCCAACTGGCTGTCCCAGCCCTTCCTAATATCATAAGCCAAGAGGAGAAGGGATTCAAGATGCAAGCAGTTGCACAAACCTGATTGAGCACCTTGTCCATGTCCTCAGGCCACAACAACTGGGGCCCCAAACATTTAAAGTTCTAGCTTCCTCTCAAAATCATGGGAACTGTAGCATGTTAAGGTTGCTGAGAGTTGTTAGGAGACCCCTATTCCATCACAGAACTATAATTCCCAGAGTTGTTTAACAATCAGATCCTCTTCCTCTGGGAATTGTAGCTCTCTGAGGGGAACAGAGGTCTCTTAACAACTCTCAGCCCCCTTAACATACTACAGTCCCCAGGATTCTTTGCGGGAAAGTCATGATTGTTTAAAGCAGTATCATAGTGAGTTAGCAGAGCATGAGACTCTTAATGGGCATTGCAGGGGGTTAGACTAGATGACCCTCATGGTCCCTTCCAACACTACAATTCTATGATTCTATGAAATATATAGTGCCTGAAATTTGTGCAATGATTTAAGACAAGAAAGAGACCCAGACACCTCGTCAGAATCATCTGTTCCAAAAAGCGGAGTCAAAATCCCAGTGCTATTATTCCCCCCCCCCCAAAAAAAGGACTTGCAAATGTGCAACAGTGGGCTTTGGATGAGTCTACCATCTCAGAGGGGCCTGTGTGTAATAGTCCTTCACCATCTGGAACAATTCCTGGTGGCAAACTGAGGTAACAGTGGAGATGGAGAAGTAAGCGTCCTTTGCCACCCTCAACACCATAACGTAAACTCAAACTTGAGCTTGTTCAATTCATCTGGGTGTCCTCTTAGCAATACCATCTGAACACCAACTTAGAACATAGCAAACACAGGAGCAAATTTTTGGTGGCTGCTGTCAGGGAACTGACATCAGAGCGGGAGGTGAAGGGGAGGCTCCTGGATGATGCTGGAGAAGGACCCAGCAGCAGGGGGAGAGGCGACTCAGTGGAGGGGGAAGCATTTAAGCGCAACACCAGGAACAAAAGTGAGCAGATGGGAAAATCGGAGAGAGGGCTCACGGACTCTTCACTGGAACTCAGTGAGGAGGGGACAGGTCCCCCGCTACCCACGCCCACCCTGCGCAGAAGGCTCCCGCGCAGTGAGAGGCGGAGAAGATTGGGTGTCAAACAACTCTTATGTTGGAAGAGATTCAAGAAACGCCCACTGACGGATTCTGCTAGTGACTGAGACAGTCATGATCAGAAAGGGCTGTGCAGTCAGAAAGGTTTAACAAGGCAAATTAGCCTAGAGAGGCACCAGTTTACGCACGAGTAACTCATACTCATTACAGCAATCCGTCAGTCCCTGAAAAGTTGCTCGTGCGCAGCAGCAGGCAGGCAGCATCATGAGCAAGCCCGTAGAAGCAGGCACCCAGGGGGGAGCAGCTGGAGGGCAAACGCTGGAGGAGAGGAACCGAGATTTGGAGCAGCATGTGGCCATTCTGACGGCACGGCTGGACGAAAGGCGGTCTCAAGATGCACAGGTCAGACCCACCCCCATAGCAAGGAAGGTACCGGGACTGGTGCACAAGTTTGGGGGGAAGCCGCAAGAATACAGTGCGTTTAGAACGGAAATAGAGTACGCATTGGAATTGCAGCATAACGATTTTGAAGACGACGCGGCGCGGGTGGCATATGTTGTGGGTCACCTGCAGGACGGGGCCAGGGAATGGGTCAGACCCCTTATGGCGACGCAGAATTCCGCCATGCAGGACCTGGAGGAAATTCTTCCAAGCGATGGACGCGATGTTTTCCACTGATGTTCAAAAAAGTGTGACAAAGCGGGAATTGATGAACTGTAAACAGGGGAGCCAGTCAGTTAGGGACTACTGGTCGCGCTTTGCCATGATAGTTCACCGCCTCGGGTGGGAACTGGGCTCCGAACCCATACAGATGTTATTCGAGGAGGGGTTGTCCCCAACGGTTAAGGATGAACTTTCCCGCGCACCCCGCCCACAGGGGATGGATCAGCTGACCAAGGCTGTGCTTGCGATTGGCGTGCGCCAGGAAGCGCGGGCCCAGGAGAGGCGGGAAGGGAGAGAGCAACGTTGCCATGACTACCGCATTCCTGAAATACCAAGGCAGCCCTCCCCGCCAGCAGAGCCAATGGAAATAGATGGGGCGCGCGGCTGGAAGTCTCAAGCACCAGCGAAGGGCGCAAGAAGGAGGGAAAGGATTGGAAAACCTCCAAAAGGTGTTACCTTTGCCAGCGGCCAGGCCATTTTGCCAGAGCCTGCCCTCAAAGAAAGGCTTGGCAAGGAATGGTGGGAATCGCAGGGGGTGAGGAGGAGGTGGTAAAGGAACAGGAACAGGGAAACGAGAACGCTTGGCTGCCAATCAAGGGGCACAACAGCCAAGCCAGCCACCAGTAAAAGTGCCCCAACCAGACCCCCCCAAGGCGGCAATAGCCATCGAAGTGGTGCTAGAACTCCCGAACGGGCACCCAGTCAAGGTGAAAGGCATGCTGGATTCAGGCAGCTCATGTAATTTCTTCAGCAAGGACTTTGCATTAGAGCACCAGCTCCACTTACTGCCTTTGGATTTTCCCTTGCAAGTGACCACCATTGATGGCAGGGAGCTTCTAGGAGGGGAAGTGACACACCAGACCCCGCCAATGAGAATGAGGGTGTCCAGGCACTCGGAGACCATCGCCTTTCACGTCGCCTCGCTAGCAGGACCCCCAATAATATTAGGGATGAGCTGGCTAGCACAACATGATCCAGTGGTGGCGTGGCATCAGAGGACAGTCACCTTTGGGTCAGCTTACTGCCTGGAACACTGTCTAGGGGGGGAAGCCCCAAGAATGACCGTGGCCAGGGTGGCTGGGATGGCGGTGGAGCGGAAAGGGGAGGTGCCGCCACAATACGCAGATCTGCGGGAGGTCTTCAGCGAGAAAGAGGCAGATAGACTGCCACCCCATAGGCCCTTTGACTGCCAGATCAACTTGCTTCCGGGGGCTCAGCTGCCAGTGGGTAAGCTGTACGCCATGTCAGACAGGGAGATGAAGGAGTTGCGAGAATTTATCGACAAGAACCTGAAAAGAGGCTTCATAAGAGAATCAAAGGCAGTAGGGGGCAGTCCGGTGTTCTTTGTGGACAAAAAGGACACAAATAAACCCAGGCTCGTAGTGGACTATAGAGCTGTCAATTTGGTGTCAGAACCCGTGACCTTCCCAATGCCCAGGATTGACGACATTTTAACGCGAGTGAGGAAAGGCAAAATTTTTACCAAGCTGGACCTCAGGGGCGCATACAATTTGATCAGGATGAGGGAGGGGGACGAATGGAAGACCACAATGTTCACACCCCTAGGTGCCTTTGAGTACTTAGTTATGCCTTTTGGATTACAGTCGGGCTCCGCCTGTTTTCAAGCTTTCATGCACCACGTGTTGGGGTCTCTGCTGTACAAGAACTGCGTAGCCTTCTTGGACGACGTCTTAATTTATTCGGACAATGAGGAACAACATGTTAGAGACGTCAGGGAAGTGTTACAACGACTGCAGAAGCACCAGTTGTGGGTCAAGCTGGAAAAATGTCAGTTTCACGCCAGAGAAGTCGAGTTTCTGGGGTACAAGTTGTCTGACAAAGGCTTAGCGATGGACCCAAGCAAGGTGCAGGCAGTGCTGGAGTGGAAGGCTCCCAAAACACGGAAGGACGTACAGAGGTTCCTAGGGTTCAGCAACTTCTACAGGAAGTTCATCAAGAACTTCGCCCACTTGACAGCGCCCATCACGGATTGTCTCAGTAGCAAAAAGAAGTTTGTGTGGACAGAAGAGGCCCAGCAATCCTTCGAAAAACTGAAGAAGGCGTTCGCATCGGAAGAGCAACTCCTGCACGTAGATCTGGAGAAACCCCTGAGGCTAGAGACCGACGCGTCCGACAGAGCCGTAGGGGCGGTCCTTTGCAGCCAGGGAAGGGAAAGCAGGAATGGAAACCGTGTGCCTTTTTCTCCAGAAAACTGAGCAAGTCGGAGCAAAACTATACAGTGTATGACCGCGAACTGCTGGCAATCTACGCGGCCTTTCGTCGTTGGCGTCATCTACTGATAGGGGCGCAACAACAGATCCAGGTTTGCACAGATCACAAGAACTTGGAGTACTGGAGAACCGCACGAGTACTCAACCAGAGACAGATTCGATGGGCACAGGAGTTCTCCAAGTTTTTCTTTGAAATCCGCTACGTGCCCGGAGAAGAAAACGTAAGAGCAGACGCCTCTCGCGTAAACCGGAGTACCTGGAAGGAGAGGGGCCGCCGGAGAAACGACACGTGATCCCCGAGGACCGATGGGTGTGTGGGGAACTTTGGTGGGGAAACGAGAACTAGCCGGGCTGACCAGAAACGACGTGTTCGCGCAAACTAAAATCCGGGAACTACGAGACGGAAGAGGGACCCAAGAAGGGTTTGAGGAGAAGGAAGGGGTACTGTACTATAGGGGAGCGCTGTACGTACCGGGGGAGACCCTGAGGGGAAAGGTACTCAAACAACTCCACGACAACCCCACAGCAGGGCACTTTGGACAGCACAAAACCATGATGCTTGTGACCAGGCAGTTCTGGTGGCCCAGGGTGAGGGAGGATGTACGGGAATATGTACGGGGGTGCGACCGCTGCCAAAGGGCAAGCGGGCTGCCCCCACAGGATTGCTGGAACCCTTACCCACGCCGGGGAAACCCTGGGAGGTGGTATCCATTGCTTCTATGACAGCCTGGCCCCAGTCCCCGGGAACCACAGCAGGCATGGTAGTGGTCGACCCACTGACAAACATGTGCCATTTTATAGCTTGCTCACATGCTGTAACGGCAGAGGAAACCGCCCGGTTGTTTGTGGAGCACATATTCCGGCTGCATGGCGCCCCCTTGAGGGTTATCTCCGACCGCGGAAAACAATTTACTTCCCGGTTCTGGAGGAAACTCATGAGCTTACTGCAGGTGGAGGTGGGTTTCTCGACGGCGAGACACCCAGAGACCAACGGGCAAGCAGAAAGAGCGAACAGTATACTCCAGCAATACCTACGCTGCTATGTCAGCGAGAGGCAGAACGATTGGGTAGAAAAACTAGCGCTGGCTGAATTCGCGTACAACAACGCGGAACACGTGTCCACGGGAATGAGCCCATTCATGGCCAACCATGGGTGTCATCCCAGGGCCTTCCCGGGAGTGGGGAGGAAAGCTGGAGCGTACCCGCCGCAGAGCAGTTTGTGGAAGAAATGGAGGCCCTACACCAGCAACTTAAGATGAACTTGGAGCGGGCCAAGGAAACTTACAAGAGGCAGGCAGACAAGCACCGCAGGGAAGGGGAGACCATACGGGTGGGGGACCGGGTGTGGTTGTCCACCCAAGGGCTACCTTTCAAAGGGGGGTGCAAGAAGTTGCAGCCCAGACGGCTGGGACCTTTTGAGGTAACACAGCAAGTTAATCCCGTGGCATTTAAGCTCAGGTTGCCTGATAGCATGAAAATACACCCGGTTTTCCATAGGTCCCTGCTTTCACCGCATAGGGAAGGGCGGGAATTCCAGGGGCAAGAGGGAGAAGTCACCACACACCCGCAGGTAGAAGAAAGGGAACACCACCACAGGGCCACGGAAATACTGGACTCAAGGTGGCAAGGGCGCCGGGTGGAGTATTTGGTAGCGTGGGAAGGGGAACCCAGGTCCGAAAACACGTGGGTCCCCACGGAAGCCGTCGAGGACAGGTATCTGGTGGAGGTATTCCACCGCCGGTTCCCGGACAAACCCAAACCCCTGGAGAGATTCTGGGAGGAGCAATTTGGAACCACAGATGAGGAAGAGGTTTTTGAGGGATTTTCTGACTCCGAGGAGGGAGGAGAGGTTTCGGAGGAAGAAGCATCAGACGGGGAAGACCACCCCGTTGGTAGGTGGAAGAGCGATTGGGAAGCGGGTTTCGAACCCACAGAAGATGGTGACAGTTCCTTCCGAGGTTTCCCGCCTCCTCGGCCGACGAAGGGGACGAGTTGGTCCCACAGGTCGGTCCAGGGGTGGAGGGGATTCTGGGGAGGTGGATGTCAGGGAACTGACATCAGAGCGGGAGGTGAAGGGGAGGCTCCTGGATGATGCTGGAGAAGGACCCAGCAGCAGGGGGAGAGGCGACTCAGTGGAGGGGGAAGCATTTAAGCGCAACACCAGGAACAAAAGTGAGCAGATGGGAAAATCGGAGAGAGGGCTCACGGACTCTTCACTGGAACTCAGTGAGGAGGGGACAGGTCCCCCGCTACCCACGCCCACCCTGCGCAGAAGGCTCCCGCGCAGTGAGAGGCGGAGAAGATTGGGTGTCAAACAACTCTTATGTTGGAAGAGATTCAAGAAACGCCCACTGACGGATTCTGCTAGTGACTGAGACAGTCATGATCAGAAAGGGCTGTGCAGTCAGAAAGGTTTAACAAGGCAAATTAGCCTAGAGAGGCACCAGTTTACGCACGAGTAACTCATACTCATTACAGCTGCCCTAGAAATGGTGTGCTCCTTTCACTTCTCAGTCAAAAGCATCTTTTGGGAAAGATGCAAGACTTTGCTATTCGTGCTTGCTACTGGGAAGTGGAGATAAGATAAAATTCGTTAGTTTGCAATGTTTTCTATTTTAAAAAATTAAAAAGTTGAGATTTCTACTGCTGTACTGCATTTTATGATTGTTGTCATGCCATTACCAAAGTTCTCTGGGTGGCTTACAAAATGAAGGTTAAGATTTTTTTAAAAAACCCTATAAAAATGTAAGGAGATCTAAAACAGATAATAAAAAGGTAAAGGGACCCCTGACCATTATGTCCAGTCGTGACCGACTCTGGGGTTGAGGCGCTCATCTTGCTTTATTGGCCGAGGGAGCCAGCATACACCTTCCAGGTCATGTGGCCAGCATGACTAAGCCGCTTCTGGCGAACCAGAGCAGCGCACGGAAACGCCGTTTACCTTCCCGCTGGAGTGGTACCTATTTATCTACTTGCACTTTGACGTGCTTTTGAACTGCTAGGTTGGCAGGAGCAGGGACCGAGCAACGGGAGCTCACCCCGTTATGGGGATTCAAACCACCGACCTTCTGATCGGCAAGTCCTAGTCTCTGTGGTTTAACCCACAGCGCCACCCACATCCCAAAACAGATAATAGAGGGGTGTTATTAATCCGCCAGTCATCTAATGTGAAGAAGACCTCCAAAATGCTATAGCTATCATTGTAATGAGATACACTGGTCACAGCCAAGCTCATTTACCAGAACATTGCCCAGATATAAACAACAAAAGGAAAAGAATAAAAAAAGAAAATAGCACAATTCTATAACGATGGAACAGAAAGCAATCTCCTCATCTCATATATATTCTGTGAATCCTTTTTCTAACAGACACTTGGCCTGCTCTGTCTGCTGATAACATTATCGTAGTGATCTCACACTGACAGTTTGCTCAAACAAAACTTCTTTGTTTAACCATTGTAGTGGGTCATGACTCACCAGCAGTTTAGTTTGATCAAAGAGATATCCACACACTATTATTATTATTATTATTATTATTATTATTATTATTATTATTACTATTATTCAGATCTTCAGCAGCTAGAATTTGCCTTCTTGGGGTTAGGCCTTGACTTTCTTGGTCCTGTGATATTATTGAAATGGACTTGGATAATTTGCGGAAGGGCCTTTGATTCCTGGATTTTCCTGCTGGCAGAAGGGGAAGAAGATGACTTTTACCAGTTTTCCCATCCCCATTCTTGTACTGTTCAGCCAGAGCAATTCTTCAGGGAGTACTATGGTCTGCAAGGAGAAGTGGGAATCGGCAGAAATCCTGGGAACTGAGGATTCCAGAACTCATGAAAAGGACTGCTATGGTTTAAATAGAGATGGAAGGAGACATTTCAGATCAGGAATGGCACATGATTTATGCACAATATCCTTTCCTATCACCATGTATTAATGAGGGATGCATTACACATAGCTATATGTTGTACAGTCTATGAATAATTGAATAAAGATTACTCAAGACAGTGAAGTTAAGTTTTCAAAAAGTAGGTCTCAAGGAACCAGTTTAAACATATTCTGGTAAATGTAAAGAGAAATTTATTTGAATGCTATTGATGTAGCTTGAGGCTGGGGTGTATGAGACGTTAGGGGAAGAGTAGTATCTCTGGTGGTGACATGTCATTCTCCTTCCACGTTAGTTTGTCCACCTTTGGTCCTCTGCACTCAGCTCTCACCTGTGGTTCCTAGAAGCTGTCAGCGTGTGATAGTAGCCACATGCCTGGAATTGACTTCCACCAACTGGCTAAACCAGGTGAGGGTTTCTGATGGGTCTCAAACCCTCAGTGAGGTAGGAACTTCCCCTGCATGTGAAACAGGCTCTGACGGATTGAGTGGATGAGGCCAATAATAAGTCCAAAGGCAGTTTCTGCATATGCTGTAGTGAGAAATGAGGGGCAGATGGGGCTTGTCAACGTGGGAAAGTCACCCATCTAGGAGAAGGAGAACTCTGTTCCTAAATCTCCACCACCTTGTGGCTACTCTCATTTGTGAGGAAGGCTTCAGGAGCAAACCCTGATGAAAAATCTGTTCCTGATGCCTTGTGGGACATCTTCAGGAGAAGAAAAGACCAAGGAGTAAACCCTGGAAAATTCCAGAGTGGAGTCCCTAAGATGGTTGGATGGCATCTTGTACGCCTCCTTCTGGCAATTCCTGAAGCCAAGCTAGTGCCACATGTATTGCTTTCCTTTCCTTTGAACCACATCAGCAAGGCTGAGAGTGGGGTATTTTTGTTTGGGCAGCCCAGAACCTCCATTTATGCTGCCCAAGCTTGTGCCCTTCAGAGGTCACATAAGGCATTGGGTTGGATCATTAGACATTGAGTAGCCTGATAAAGGGGTCACTGAAATGTTTGCTTTGTCTGGAAGTCCATATTGAAATTGAAATTGAATTGAAATACTTTATTGTCACTTGTACAACTTGTATACAGTGAGAT